TGGGAACGCCTGGCAGAACCTGTCAAGACGGTCTTCAACTCCCACCTCCGGCAGAGCTTTGACCGCGTCCGGAGAGCAGCGGGGGACATTGACTCAGAGTGGGCCTTGTTCCACTCTGCAATTGTTGAGGCGGCTGTTGCTAGCTGTGGTCGCAAGGTGGCCGGTGCCAGTCGTGGTGGCAACCCCCGTACTCACTGGTGGACACCAGAGGTTCGGGGAGCCGTCAGGCTGAAGAAGGAGGCCTACATGGCGTGGCTGGTCTGTGGGTCTCCGGAGGCAGCAGACAGGTACCGGATAGCCAAGCGGGGTGCAGCAGTGGCAGTTGCTGAGGCAAAATCTCGGGTGTGGGAGGAGTTTGGTGAGGCCATGGAGAAAGACTATCGATCGGCTCCAAAGAGGTTCTGGCAAACTGTCCGGCGCCTCAGGAGAGGGAGGCAGCAACTCGCTCACACTGTTTACAGTGGGGATGGGGAGATGCTGACGTCAACTTAGGCTATAGTCGGATGGTGGAAGGAATACTTTGAGGAGCTCCTCAATCCCACCTACGCGCATTCCGAGGAACCAGAGCCGGGAGACCTGGAGATGGACTGTCCAATCTCGGGGGCAGAAGTTGCTGAGGTAGTCAAACAACTACTCAGCGGTGGAGTCCCGGGGGCGGATGAGATTCGTCCTGGGTATCTCAAGGCTATGGATGTTGTAGGGCTGTCATGGTTGACACGTCTCTGCAACATTGCGTGGTCATCGGGAGCAGTTCCTGTGGAGTGGCAGACCGGGGTGGTGGTACCCATCTTTAAGAAGGGTGACCTGAGTGTGTGTTCCAACTATAGGGGGATCACTCTCCTCAGCCTCCCTGGAAAGGTCTACTCCAAGGTACTTGAGAAGAGGGTCAGATCTATAGTTGAATCTCAGATTGAGGAGGAGCAATGTGGTTTTCGTTCTGGCCGTGGAACTGTGGACCAGCTCTATACCCTTGCAAGGGTGATGGAGAGGGCATGAGAGTTTGCCCAACCAATCCACATGTGTTTTGTGGATTTGGAGAAGACTTATGACCATGTCCCCAGGGGCACCCTATGGGGGACGCTCCAGGAGTATGGGGTGGGTGGCTTTCTGTTAAGGGCCATTCAGTCCCTTTACCAGAGGAGAGTGAGTTTGATCCGCATAGCCGGTAGTAAGTCGGACCTGTTCCGGTGAGGGTTGGACACCGCCAGGGCGGCCCTTTGTCACCGGTTCTGTTCTTTACCTTTATCGACAGAATTTCTAGGTGCAGCCGTGGTGTGGAGTGTGTCGAGTTTGGTGGCAGGAGAATCTCGTCTCTGCTTTTTGCGGATGATGTGGTCCTCCTAGCTTTATCCAGCTCTGACCTTCAGCTCTTGCTGGGTAGGTTCGCGGCCGAGTGTGAAGCGGCTGAGAAGAGGATCAGCACCTCCAAATCTGAGACCATGGTTCTCGACCGGAAAAGGGTGGCTTGCCAACTCCAGGCCAGGGGAGAGGTCCTACCTCAAGTGGAGGAGTTTAAGTATCTCGGGGTCTTGTTCATGAGTGAGGGTAGGAGGGATCGGGAGATCGACAGGCGGATTGGTTCAGCATCTGCAGTGATGCGGATGCTGAGCCGATCTGTCGTGGTGAAGAGAGCTGAGCCAGAAAGCCAGGCTCTCGATTTACCGGTTGATCAACGTCCCAATCCTCACCCATGGTCATGAGCTTTGGGTAATGACCGAAAGAACAAGATCGCGGATACAAGCGGCCGAAATGTGTTTCCTCGGTAGGGTTTGCCGGGCTCAGCCTTAGAGATAGGGTGAGGATCTCGGACATTCGGGAGGGACTCGGAGTAGAACCACTGCTCCTCCGGATCGAAAGGAGTCAGTTGAGGTGGTTTGGGCATCTGGTCAGGATGCCTTCTGGACGCCTCCCCGGGGACGCCGGCAGGAGGCCCCCGGGTCGACCCAGGACATGTTTGAGAGGTTACATCTCCAATCTGGTCCGGGAAAGCCTTGGGGTCCTGCCGGAGGAGCTGGTGGAGAAGGCCGGGGAGAGGACGGTCTGGAGCTCCCTAGTTGGGATGCTGCCCCCGCGATCCAGACCCGGATAAGCAGAGGAAGACAAAGACGACGATCAGATTGAACCTGATATTCCAAAAATCGATTCTGTATTCAGAGAAATTTGTGATTCTGACATATCACTGGATGATTTAGATCAAGCCTTAAACAAACTGAAAATGGACAAAGCTCCTGGTCAGGATGGCTTGACTGCCATCTTTTATAAATTCTTCTGGAAAGAAATAAAATAATTTTTCTTCAAAACTATTAGGGAAATCATTAGTAATGAAACATTAGCAACGACAATTAAACAGGGTCTTATTTCCCTTATTCCCAAACCTGGTAAAGATAAAAGATTAATCGATAATCCACAACCATTTACTCTATTGAATACAGATTATAAAATTCTTGCTCATGTTACTGCAAACACATTAAAGGACGGCTTAGAGTAGGTTATTAGTGAAACACAATATGGGTTCCTTAAGAATCGTTCTATCCACAAAAATATTAGATTAGTTTTAGATCTACTGGATTATAATCACTTAATTGAAGATGACGGTATGATTTTTTTTAGACTTTTATAAAGAATTCGACACGGTTAAAAATCCTTTTATTTTAAAAGCTTTACAGTATTTTGGTTTTGGTAAAAAAAATCATAGATTCAATTTCTTTGTTATACTCTGATATCAATAGTTCTATTTCTTTACCTTTTGGAACATCTAAACGATTTAACGTCAGTCGAGGGATCCGTCAGGGGTGCCCAGCTTCTCCGTTACTTTTCATTATTATAACAGAACTTTTAGCTATTAAACACAATCCAAATATTCAACCACTGAACTTGATGGGAGCCCCATTGATCATAAGTCAATTAGCAGATGATACTACACTATTTTTAAAGAACACGTCACAGGTTCCTCTCGCACTAAGTGAAATTTCACTATTTTCAAAGGCCTCTGGTTTGAACCTGAATATCAGAAAATGTGAATTATTAAATATTCATGATTGTGAACCCAGTATCTCTCTTAACATAGCTATTAAAACTGAAATTAAATATTTGGGTATTATAATCTCAAAGAATACAAATAATAGAGAAAATCTAAATTTTGAGCATATTATCCAGAAATCTAAAAAGATCCTAATCAGCTGGTTACAAAGAGACCTCTCCATCTTTGGACGCGTCTTACTTACCAAAACAGATCTCTCAACTGATTTATCCATCACAATGCTTATATGTTTCCAATAGATTAATCAATAATATAAATCAAATTAGCTATAATTACATTTGGAGAAACAACCAACATTATATTAGGAAGAATGATGTAGTGAAATCATTTGAAGAAGGAGGTTTGAATGCGATTGGTTTTGAAGCAATGGATGGTTCCATCAAACTCAAATGGTTGCAGTCTTTCATAAATAACTCAAACAGTATTTGGTTTTATTTCCCTAAAATAATTTTCGAGAAGCTTGGTGGCATTGAATGTCTCTTAAAGTGTGTCTTTGAAATTACCAAATTACCAATTAAATTATCTAATTTTCATAAACAGGTTCTCCAGTACTGGAAAATTATTTACAAGCATAATTTTTCTCCACATACAAATTTAATTTGGAACAACAGATGTATATTGATAAAAAGAAAATCCATCTTTTATAAGGACTGGATGGATCGTGGAATTTGGACCATTTTACACCTGGTAGACAATGATGGCAATGTATTATCATATAATAAATTCATAGATAATTATGGCGTATCATGTACTCAAAGTAAATTCATTAAAGTTGTGAAAGCCATTCCCCCTGCAATGATTCAGATGGCTAAAGCCAGTTTAATCTATTCTTCCTCTATAATTCGTGAACCGTCCTTAATTATCGATGATCGTCAATTTATAGGAAAGACATGCAATAATAAATTTTTAAGGACAATTCTAACCAATCAACTTTTTCCTTCTCAATTAAAAAGAAAATATTTGTTTAAAGATTATAATTCTAGGTTTTTGAGTAAGTATCTTTCTTTTCCAATTCCACCAAAAGCAAAAGAAAATCACTTTAAAATTTTAAATGCTATATACCCGTCCAAGGACAACCTTCACAAGAAATTGAATATAGATACGAACACATGCACTTTTTGCAACACTGATATTGAGACTACAGAGCACCTTTTTTATTCATGTGACAGTTCCAGATAGTTTTGGGATGATTTTCAGTACTGGTTAACCTCTAAAAATATTGACTGCCCTTCTCTAACCTTTCAAGTAATTAGATTTGTCCTACAAACAGAAAATAGAATGTGGGATTAACAACTTATTTATAGTTGCAAAATTTTTCATTCATAAATGTCGCTTCTTAAAAATTACTCTGGTTTTTGCTGTTGGTAAAAATGAAGTCCTTCTATTGAAGGCTTCATTAGATAAGTGTAAATTAAATATAGCTCACATCTTACTTGAATTTTTAATGCTGCTTTTCAATTGATGTAGCTAGACTGTATGTGTGTACTTTTCTTTTTGCTTTGTTTTCTTTTTTGTTATTTTTTAAGGTTTTTCTTTTTTTCTGTTACCTATATGGAAGGTCATTTAATGTACTCGTATGCTGCTTTATGTTATTTCTGACCTATACTGTTCTCTTCAGTTGTTCTTTGTTCGATGGTTATTTTGTTCTTAACCACCTATCCACATATCTTTTTGATTTGTAAGATATGCGCTGTATTTGTTAATTTGTACAATAAAAAATAAATTAAAAAAACGGCGATTATCTGCACAGAAGTCAGCTCGACCGGTCTAAGATGGCGACTGCATTTTCTGCGCGCGAGCGGCCAATAGGGTCTATCAATAGTGAGTCAATACTGGCAGAAGTGGCGAATACGGCTTAAGGGGGGTGTGGTTGACGGATAGGTCACATGTCTGACAAAGACCAATGATTTGGGCCAAATCCCAGCGCGGGAGATTTTTTCCTGTAGTAACGTCATCAGTGGAGGAAGTTGTGCGTGTGGTGGGTCATGGATGAGAAGCAGCGACCTGATCCTGTTCTTAGGTAATATCTCACACATAAAAGTCTCTGCAAGTCATTGTTCTATTGAGATTTCATTCCGCCTTTAATGTCGACATTTTCCTGTCACAGTGTCATTAGGTGTGTGTATTTGTAGGGTTAAAAACTTAGCTATGTTTCCAACCCTGTCCTGCTCAGAGTCGCAGGACAAAGTTAGACCTAGGCCTGACTGTTTTAACTGTTATCTGTTCACCTGGGGCGAGTCCTGCCCACAGTACGGTAGGCAGCATTACCTCTGGGTGTTTTTTTTTCATTGTGACTCTCAGCCTGAATATTTTAGATAAAGTAAATGTTAAAAAAGCTATAATTGGGCGTTATCCCTATAGGTAGCCTAAGTCTCCTCCCCTTCCGGTTGGTTCATGAGTCCCCAGAAGAGCGAAACAATTAATGCAAATCAATTGGGCTAAAAACGCTATTTTCTAATCCGCTTTGCTTTATGCCTTGAATCACAAATGTGTTGTACTGCAATTTAAATGAAAAGTATTGATTGGTGTTTCAACCACGCCAGCCGCGTACCATACATCCTCTTTCCCCCGGACAAGTCCACTTACCACTCTCTGTCCGGGGAGGTTTCCTACATTGATCATCATCAAAATATCAGTTTTTTCATGCAGGAGCTCGGATCGAGTTATGGTGGGCTAGATATCAATCAGGAAAGATCCAGTTCCTGCCTATATTACAATATTTATGGACTATGTTGAGCGGAGAGGACGCAGAGCGCTGGTGCGTCCGGCGCACAACACATTCTCAAGGTGGCGCAACAAAACATTATTATTAACACATGATCGTTCATATCTGTTTATATCCTCTGGTACTCTGTCTTTTAATCGTTCCTGACGCGCTCCGCTCATCGTGTGCTGCCGTGGTATCACCTCACCGACGCAGCATGGAGACACCCACTCCACTTTGTAGTCAGGAGATCCCTTTGATCTGCTCAGAAGTAACTGATGAGGTGAAAAAGTAAGAATCCAAGCAGCAGTTTTTCTGGAGAGTTTAGAGGAGATGCAGGAAGATGAGGGACATACAGGACAGGAAAATAGTTAAATAAAAACAAGAAAACAAAACAAAGTGTTGAAAAGTAAAATGTAGGTAGATTTATCTCCACGACACGTTTTTACCTGTATAAAACAATAAGTTACACACATGTCATATTTATACATCTGATACAATTCAGATCACCTTCAAAACTCAGTCACACTCCCAGGGCCGTTTCAAGGCATTCTGGAGGCCAAGGCAAACCCCCTCGAGAAGAGGGCTGAGAATGAGCCTTGGTTGGCCCGGAAAAATACCAGGCCACCCAGATATGTAAACAACCTACGCTACCCGGCCCGGGCCGACCCGGTACAGATGGGAATGGCCCATTTGGCTCCCTATAGGAACCAGTATCTAAATGTCTTCTGTGTTTGTTTGTAGAGACACGAGCTGTAAAAGAGAGGACTACTTGGAATGGCCTGATTATTTCATGGCTGTAGCCTTTTTGTCAGCCCAGAGGAGCAAAGATCCAAGCTCCCAGGTGTGTGTTTGTGTGTGTGTGCGCTCGTGTACACTTTTCAGGAATGTTGATGGATGGATGATTCTTCTTTAAAATTTTATGATTAAAGGATGTACTCTACTTGAATCATTAAAATATGAGAGAAACCAAACCGTTCTTGCTGCTGTGTGAGTCGTTTCCAGCCAAATCCAAAGTGTGCGCTTGTGCATGTGTGTTTTTTCTGCAGGTGGGAGCATGCATAGTGAACCAAGAAAATAAGATTGTTGGTATTGGTTACAACGGGATGCCCAATGGCTGTGATGATGACCAGTTGCCATGGTCGCGGTCTGCTGATGACAGACTTGACACTAAATATCCTTATGGTAGGAGCCCATGTTCAATAGCACTTCCTTCTGGTCTTTATGGGTAAAGGATTTCAGGATGTTTGGTTACAGGCAACATGTCAAACCTAAGATGACAATATCGACAAGGTCAAATTTAGGTTTCAGAGGAACGGCATGTTGTCGCCCACATGTGATGTATTCTGTTTTTTACAGAGATGTCAGCCTTTATGGTTTTACAATTAGTGTTAAGATGAGAACGTAATAGAAAGTCCAGACAAACAGTAGCAGTAGTGATGGGAACTCCAGCTCTTTTAAGAGAATCGGTTCTTACGGCTTGGCTCACTAAGACAAACCGGCTCCTGCAGCTCTCAAATGGCTCCTCGATATTGTTTTTGAAATGAATTTATCACCAGAGTTATGTAAAATTTGTGTGAAATTATTGATGGATCTACAAACTTACATTAGATAATTTTTTTTTATTATTTAAAGAGTGACTAGGCAGTTTTTTTGCTTGTTTTTAGCACCTTTTAGTGTCTGCTTAGTAAAACCAAAAGCAAAACTTACCTCCTGGAAAGCTTCTCTCATTAGAGTCTACAGATGGGGTTCATCACTAAATCAAACATATCAGATGTGTTCATGATCTAAAACGTGTAGAAGCAGACTGCAGCGCCAGGTATGCCAGCTAAACGCTGACATTACAAGTGTCTGGCTACAGAGGGCGGTGGGGTCTGAGTGAGTTTTCATTAACCCTAAAAGGTCAAAGGGTCATTTTTGTACAAACCGGCTCAAGAAAATGATTAAAAAATGTGAAAAAGTTGCATATTAACCATTTAAATAACTTCTAGCTATCCAACACTAATGCAACAAAACAAATAACAAAAATAAAATAAGTAAATTATTTATAGACTTAACTATTTACAGGTGAAAAACTGAGATAATCGTACAATAAAATTTGTTTGAAAAGATATTTTTGCTTTGCATAGTCTACACTCTTTTTTTGAATTGTCAATATTAGTAAAAGGTGTCCAAATCTGGCTGCATTTCCTGCTTTAACTCATGTCCTCACCTGTAGCCGGTTTTATTCTTATAAACAACCTAAAGCTCCCTGATGCCGGCTCAGCTTTGCAACACATTGTCGGCATTGTTTTATAAAAAAAAGGCTTATGGGTCATGGCCAGAGGCTGCGCAGTGGCGCAGTGGTTAGAGCTGTTGTCTTGTAGCAAGAAGGTCCTGGGTTCGATTCCCGGCCTGGGATCTTTCTGCATGGAGTTTGCGTGTTCTCCCTTTGCACGCGTGGGTTCTCTCCGGGTACTCCGGCTTCCTCCCACAGTCCAAAAACATGACTGTTAGGTTGACTGGTCTGTCTAAATTGTCCTTAGGTGTGTGTGTGTGTGTGTGTGTGCATGATTGTTTGTCCTGTGTGTCTGTGTTGCCTTGCGATGGACTGGCTCTCTGTCCAGGGTGTACCCCTCCTGACTGCCCATTGACTGCTGGAGATAGGCACCAGCCCCCCCCCCCCACCCCCGCGACCCCCGCGACCCCGTGTGGACAAAGCGGGTTCCGAAGATGGATGGATGGGTCGTGGCCAGACTATATTCACATATATAGGATGGCTTGGCAGGCTAGCAAGATGCAGGAAAATGAGAAAAAAGGAGCTCATGTTCTATTTGAATTAAACCAGGGGTGCCCAATCCTGGTCCTGGAGGGCCGGTATCCAGCAGGTTTTGTGGTTTTTCTGCTCCAACACACTTGATTAACTGGTTGAATCACCTGTGCAGCATCTCATCAGGCTCTGCAGAAGCCTGTTAATCACCTGCTGATTGAAATCAGGTGTGTTGAAGCAGAATTAAAACTAAAACAAGCTGGATACCGGCCCTCGAGGACCAGGATTGGGCACCCCTGAATTAAACCAACTCTGAGATTTTAATAGTGACAATGAATTATTGTCCTCCTTGAGCCCACCTGCTGAAAGCCATTCTTTCTTCCAGCCCTAAACAAAGACCAAAGGTCAGAGAATAATTGACAGCACTTTCAGAGTTTGCAACAAAAAGGATGTTCAGTTCCATAAAAAATCTAATTTCATTTCAATTCTGCCTGAATAATCATGAAATGAGACATTTTTGGGGATATACAGAGTTCATTTGCACAAACTACAACAAAACATTTAGAGATTAGACATTTTTTAACACAACTAGTCTCATAAAAGATCGTTTTCTTTCTTTCTTCTCATAATGACTAACGGTTAGCTAAACTAGTCAGCCATAACTGTTTTACTACTGTTATCAAGGAATGTTCAGCCAATTCCAGGACCCGAGTTAAACTGCTTAAAAACTCCACATGGCTTTTAAGTAGGGCTGGGCGATTTATTTTTATTTTTTTTTTACAACTACTGTGGGTGTTGCCTTCGTTTGAACCTTTTTAGAAAGGGATGCAACGATACCACTTTTTTCCAAACCGATACGATACCGATACATGGATCTGAGTGCTCGCCGATACCGATTACCAATACCGATACTTCTACCACACAAAAAAATGCAATGATTTGGAATACAGGTTTCATTTTCTTCTCTGCTTTCAACAGGAAAAGACCGTGAGGTAGATAAAAAGTAAAATATATGAATGGAAATCATCAGAAAACTAAAATATTAGGTGAACAGAAATGACAAGTTACAGTGAAGCCATTTTCAAGCAACTGCATTGGTATCGGTTAACTGTTTCCCTACTTTTAGATTACAACTACACTACCGGTCAAAAGTTTTAGAACACCCCAATTTTTCCAGTTTTTTTATTGCAGTTTCAGTCATTCAAGTCCAATGAATAGCTTGAAATGGTAAAAGTTACGTGGTCACTCAAAACTGAAAAAATAATGTACATTTCAGAGTGATACAAAAAGGCCTTTTACAGGGAACACAGCTGTTAGTTTTTGTTTTTTTTACCATTATGTTGGGTATTTTTAATCTATGTTCGGTAATTTAATTTAGCATTATTCACTATTCTAATACCTTAAACTTATATTACCTTAAAGGAAGTCAGAACACACACAGAGGGATTAGATTCTTAATTTGGTAAATTGTAACAAACCTTAAATAGACAACAAACTCTGCAAAGTGTGACACTTTGCAAAGGCCATAACATACGTTACAAAGCTCACTTTGTAACGGGTGAGAAAGAATCAGACCATACAACACGGAAGCCATTTTCCTCTCACAAAGGAGCCGACGCTCATGGGGGGATTTATTTCACAAAATGTTCACACCCACAAATTCCACAATCACAAGAGAAGTTTCTAGAGTTGAGCTAATGGAAAAACACCTTGGTCTTAGAATGCACAGGACAAAGGAATTCTTCAGATACTAGAACTACAAGTTTCTTGGTCTGGCAGAAAGCTCCCTGGTTTAGCTGGTTTGGACTTTTCCTAGAAGTGAGGTAACTTCACAATCAAAGATGAACAATTTAAAAAATACCTAACAACAGCTGTTCTGCAGCAATGGAGGTTGGTCAAGCCTTGAAACCCTAACCCTTTGATAGAACGAGTTGCAGCAAGAAAGCCACTGCTAAGCGCTCAACCGTAAGGGAAATGTGGTCACGGAGGTCAGCAGGGCTACACTAACATCTCATCGTTCTGTCCTACAGTTTGTCATGCAGAGCTGAACGCCATAATGAACAAGAACAGTGCTGATGTGAAGGGATGTACCATGTATGTGGCTTTGTTCCCGTGCAACGAGTGTGCCAAGCTCATCATCCAGGCAGGTGAGAGTTTGCACCACGGCTCCTTAAACCTCATCCCAGGTTTTCAAATGGCTGATCAAGATTTATGCTTGAGTTTTTGCTTTCGGGTTCAAATTTTAGGATGATTTGTCATAATTAGAGTTTTATTTTACACGATCAGTGCCTTGTTTCTTAAAGGTGTGGGACATTAACCAATACATTTGCAGCGGTCTCTGGTAGGAATGTATCCCTTCCAAGTCAAACTCTGGGGAGAAACGCTCAGGTGCTCATGTTTTAGGAACTGTCAGAATTCCATATCCAGGGAAAGCTTAACATAGCAGGATTTGGACTTTTACATATTTGGATCTCTTGCCTCTGATTGGCTAACAGCAAATTGAGTCCATTTGCTTTGCGGCATGGATGTTTTATCTCCTCAATTAACACGCCTTGAGGTGTTCTGCTGTGTGGTGGAGTTGCTAATGCTAACTGTTACCTTCTACAAGCCAAGACGTTCTCTGCTGTTTCCTGGACACTAGGGCTACATTCACACCGATACTCATTTCAGGTTTTTTTTTTTTTAGTAAATCAGATTTATTTATTTATTGTGAGTGGCTGTTCACACTATGGTTGAAATGCGACATCAAACTCTCTCCAGTGTGAACGCTTCATGGCCCCAAAGCGACCCCTGTGCGCAGGAGACAAGAAGTCAGACTCACTGGAGTCGGAACCGAGAGACGTAGTTGTGATGTGAAGAGCTTCAATGACTACGTTTACATGCAGCCAATAACCGGGTTATGATCGGGTTAAGGTCGGTATTCGGGTTTCTGAGTTGATCAGAATAACCCGTTTACAAGCACAAATAGAAAGAGTTACCTCTAACTTGCATAACCCGATTTAAATGCGGACGTTGGGGTAGCGTCTGGACGTATGGACTACGTCCAGACGCAATATGCGTAATTTCCGGTTCTTCTTGTTCCGGTATCCGTGAAAACAACAACATGTTTCCCAGTTCGGAAGAGATAACGACCACGTTTGTTTAAGCTTTAGTTTCCTCGTCACTCCAAAAGTGTGGTGCTGTGCCGAGACTCGCCATGTTGCTCCCAACTTGTTGTTTACTTCCGGAGTTCTGGCGCATACAAGACGTCTCGCTACTCAAAAGACCAAGATTCCTTGTGAACAGAGCATGTGCAGAACACACGCTTTGATGGGGATATCCCGATATGCGTTTACACGACCAAACATTCGGGTTAGAAAAGGGTTACCCCAGGTGTAGTAACCGGGTTTTTAAAAACCCGGTTATGAGCATATCCGGGTTTTTGGCGGTGTTTACTAGGGATGCACCGATGGATCGGCATTTGATCGTAATCGGCCGATAGCGCCCCTATCGGTTTTGATCGGAATTTTCAAAATAGATCAAAGCAGACCGATCAGGTAGGGTTGTCACGGTAACCAGTGTAGCGGATTTCCCCGGTAAAAAAAAAAAGTTGACAATAATAATAACCGTCTTGTTTTTAAAAAAAAACTATATTATCTTGGTGGGTTTACCGTGGCTGCGGAGTAGGCGCGGTGACCCTTACCAGCCACCGTATCATCTGCTGAAGTTGCAGGACCGGCGGCACATGCACGCTTTGCTGTTTACAACCAAAACTTATTTGATTGATTTTATATCTTGTCCTGTCTTTAATCCATTTTGTACACCGACTCCAGCGAAAGCCTCTCATGCATCCTTGCTGCCCAGTACCAGAACTGTACTGAAGTCACTAGTTACTAAATAATCATCAGCAGGCAATGATGCTGTTAAACGTGTGAGCGTTCAGAACTACGTGACTCAATTTAAGGAACAAAGTGGAATCCAGCAGCTGTTATTTATTTGTTGTTGGTGTTTAGAGAAACTAAATATGTCTGCAGGGTTTTAGGCCCAGGGTAGAGTTTTATACCTCAGACCAAACCACATCCAGACCTGTTATTAATAATATTGTGTAGTTTTTACACCAATCACAAAAATCAGTAGTGTTCACAGACATCCTTAGAAATAAATACTCAATACCATCCATCCATCGTCTGAACCCGCTTGTCCACGCAGGGTCGCGGGGGGGCTGGTGCCTATCTCCAGTGGTCAACGGGCAACCAGGCGGGGTACACCCTGGACAGAGAACCAGTCCATCGCAGGGCAACACAGAGACACATAGGACAAGCAATCATGCACACACACACCTAAGGACAATTTAGACAGACCAATTAACCTATCAGTCATGTTTTTGGACTGTGGGAGGAAGCCGGAGTACCCGGAGAGAACCCACGCATTCACAGGGAGAACACGCAAACTCCATGCAGAAAGACCCCAGGCCGGGAATCGAACCCAGGACCTTCTCATCCTCTAACCACTGCGCAGCCCTAAATATTAAGGCTTATTTTATCTTATTTTCCATCACCTGTGGGTTTAGTGCATTCACTTAATATCAATTATGACATTATTAACAACAGGTCGCTCTGGGCATAGAACGTGTTTCTAGGAACAGAAGCTTGATGGGTTAGGGTTGGCAGCAGCTCACCTGTTCATAACTGGAGCAGGTGATCAACAGAATAACACCGGCCCAAAAAAACCACCAAACTCAAAAAGGGCCAAACACACAACTTCAATCTGTTGCTCAAATAAAGCCAAAACTAGACCGCACCGCAGGAGCGAGATGGGAATGAGCGCGTGAGGTTTTACCGCTTGGGCGTTGTTGCATTCGCGGACTGTTTCGCTGCCATGAGAGCAAGGAAGGGGACAATAGCGCGCGGAACGTTTTGGTGCCGTGCATCGGCCGCGAGAGTGGGGGTTGATTTAATTGCTGTGGCGCTAGAATTTCAGACGTGGCAATGCGCTTTTGCCTGCAGTGTGAATGTAACCATAACAGCCTTCCCCGTTGCGAGTCAGGATGGGTGATTACATGAATTGCAGTAGGACTTTTGTTCATCCATGAATGACGGTGTGACGTAGGTTTTTCTAATCCTAGAGCTTCACCGTCTTGTTTTCTATCAGAAGGTAATTCAGCAGATAGATGTAGGAGACTATTTTCATGTTCAGCCTGCATGAAAAACTCAGACTGACTGATTTGTAATCACAAAAAAATTCATCATCAAAGAGTTTTTCAGTGAACCGCACCTTTAAATCCTTGTTGGTTCCAACTTAAAACTTTCCAATACAAAAAAGACACGAGGGGAAGCGCCTGCAGATTCTCTTCTGACAGCAGAGACTTTTCATGTTTCTGTTAGATTCTCCTTTTTCTGATGTCACGTTTGTTCAGGCCTGAAGGAAGTCATCTACATCTGTGACAAGTACCACCATACGCCTGAGATGACTGCTTCTAGAAGGCTGCTACACATGGCAGGAGTACAGTTCAGGTACACGACTGCACCCACCCACCCACCCACACACACACACACACACACACACACACACACACACACACACCTGAACAATTTATTGTTTTCAGACCGAAATTGTGATTTCGAGATCACTTTACCACAAAAGGTGCATTTCATTGTAGCGTTCCTGACTGACCCAGGATCTGTTGTGTCAACTATTATAAACATCCGGCATTTCCCCAGGTTTTAAAAAGCCACTTACGCACTAGCGTCGGCTCCACTCTGCCCCGCCCGCCCTAGCTCGGCTGCGTTTTGTTCCACACTGCTTTAGGAATGCAGCCGTGATTGAGAGCATGGAGGTCTGTGATGTCATGAGCGCATCTCTGAGCACATAGGCGAGGCAAAAACGGGGAGAAGTCCACGTTGTTCATTATTAAACAAAAGCGGCCGGATCAGTCTTGCTTTTGGAGACTCTCTGACTCTGATATTGCATTTTGCTTGGCCGTGTCTGGCAGCAATGTGTAGGCGGGCCTTTGAGCCAGCCAATCAATCAGCAGTGGGTGTGTTGGCCCGGTTTGGCTCCAGGCAGACAGCCTCGAGAAGAGGGCTGAAAAGACGTCCAGGTGTGCATGGGTAAATCCAAGGCCACCTAAATAAGAAAACTCTTAACCCGGTCCAGATGGAGTGGAGCTGATGGTAGTGTGTAAGGGCCAAAATTGTTACGTAAATGGTTACGACTGTGGCTGTTTGTCTCTGCTGCTAATGTTTTGTTATGTGTTTAGATTGTCTGTCTAAAGTGGACATTGTGTTGGAGTCAAATTATTCTGTTTCCTCTACTTCTCCTGATCTTTCCTCTAAATGTGGGAGGACAGTGAGTCCTGTTACAGGATGGATTTCAGAAGGTGGGCATGCCTTGTACCAGATCTAGGACAGCAGTATGTTTATGTTTATGTATTTAGCAGACGCTTTTGTCCAAAGCGTCTTACAAGTGATAATTGGCATGTTGCCCTTGAGGCTAACAACAACAATAACAACAATAGGGTTCCCTGCCCTTTGGGCTTGGAACCCTAACAACTTGGCATCAATCATGGAGAGGAGGGAACAAAGGAGTGGACAGTATTGGGGGGGATGGGTGCAGGGAGGGTGCTAGTTAAGAAGATGCTCTCTGAAGAGCCGTACCATCTCGGACTTTGTATGCTAGTGTTAGCAATTTGAATTTGATGCGTGCTGCTAGCGGTAGCCAGTGGAGCTCAATGAACAGAGGGGGGACGTGTGCTCTTTTTGGCTGATTGAAGACCACACGTGCCACTGCGTTCTGGACCATTTGAAGAGGTCTCACAGTACAGCCTGGAAGACCAGTTAGAAGGGCATTGCCGTAATCGAGGTGGGAGATGACAGTAGATTGCACCAGGAGCTGGGTGGCATGTTGTGTTAGGTATGGTCTGATCTTTCGTATGTTATACAGCGCAAAGCGGCATGAACGAGCAACAGAGGCAACATGATCTTTAAAGGTCAGGTGTTCATCAGTCACAACACCCAGATTTCGAACTGCCTTTGAAGGAGCCAGAGATAGGAAGTCATTTTGGATTGAGATATTGTGCTGTATGGATGGTTTTTTTGGGATGACAAGTAATTCAGTTTTAGAGAGGTTGAGTTGGAGATGGTGGGATTTCATCCATTTTGATATGTCAGAGAGACAGTTTGATATTCGTGCAGAGACAGTGTGGTCGTCCGGTGGAAATGACAGATAGAGCTGGGTGTCATCTGCATAGCAGTGGTAGGAGAAGCCATGTGATCGAATGATCTCACCCAGTGGGGTGGTGTATATGGCAAAGAGAAGATGTCCTAGTACAGAGCCCTGGGGGACTCCTGTGGCAAGATGGTGCACGGTAGAGGATTGTCCAAGCCAAGATACACTGAATGATCGTCCTGTGAGGTACGATTCAAACCAGGCGTGTGATTTCTCTGTGTTGCCCATGCTAGAGAATGTGGACAAAAGGAAGCCATGGTTGACAGTGTCAAATGCAGCCGATAAGTCTAGCTGGATAAACACTGAGGATTTGGCAGTCGCTCTAGCTTCTTTTAAGGATTCCGTCACTGCTAACAGACCAGTTTCAGTGAAGTGGCCCTTTTTGAACCCAGATTGGTAAGGGTCAAGCAGACAGTTTTGTGAGAGGTATTCTGTTATCTGCTTGAAAGCCACCAGTAGCAGCAGTAGCAGGAGGTACAGCAGGTTGTCCAGTAATCAGAAGATTGTAGGTTTGATCCCGGCTCCGACCAGAGAATGCTGCCGTTGTGTCCTTGGGCAAGACATTTGACTTGCCTTGTTTGCCGATGGTGGTCAGAACTCTAATGCCTGGAACACACCAGACACGGAAAGCGCTACGAAGCGCCGTGAAACGACAAGCGCGTCTAATCGGCGCCCCCTTGCTAACCTACGCTCTCGGTTACATCAGCTTCGAAGCGCCACGAAGGCTTGCGCCGTACAGCAATCGTTTCGGTGTAACCTTAAACTTTTTTCGTGAGCCGTGAGTGAGCCGCGTCATTTATGGCAGGAAGTCAAACCAAAGCAGAAGAGGGAGGCAGGTAAATTTAACAAAATAAAAGAAAAAATTCAAAATAAAACACCACTATTGTGAAATGTGATTATTTTTGTCATTGTAAACAGACTGGAGAGATGAAAATGAACACACACACACTCCTGCAGAGAAACATAGTGTTTCCATACTTTTATATGCAGTTTTTAAAGCAAAAAATAGATGTAATAAATGTGAATACAAACAAATACACAGCAGCTGGATCAGTACAGTTTCCGATATCAACAAGTGGGGCAAAGTGTTTACACACACACACACACACACACACACACATGCAAGCACGCACAGCAAGGGCACGAGGGTTTGGAAAACAGTAGGTGTGCCTGGGTTCTCGTGTGTCTTGCCCGTGAATAGTTGCTTGTGCAGCCATGACGCGAGGACCCGCTCGGATGCGAGGCTGTAGTCATGCTGGTCACTTATCTGACAGCCTGGATGACCAGATTGTTCCAATAAAACAATGTGAATGACTTGAGTCTTGTGTTTCCTCTTCAGGGTGTACAGTGTATCTCTGACTCTATGTTGATCTAAATGTTTTCCAGGCAGTTCCAACCTAAGAGGACTGAGATCATCATTGACTTTAACTCTATTAACAATCCTGAGACCCTGCATGGTGGTGCCCAGGAAAGACCAGAGGAGCAGCTGGACAGAGTTCAAGAAGAATGGAGAGATGGAAAATGACTTGGTTGTCTTTTTGGTAGTTTTTCATTTGTGTTTCTCCAAAGAAACATTGATCACATTAGTGGTAAAAATCTGATTTGTTTGATAGTATAGATGATTGATTTGAAGCTTTTTGTCCTATCTGAGACAGTTCTGTCTTCTGAACAAATATTTACATTTATGCCCATTTTTCATAGTGTCTGTTGGTGAATTAAAGTTGATGTTAAAAAGCAGCTTCAGGAACCCTGGTGTAGATTAGAGGATTTAAACTCAAGAAATAATGTAATAAAAATAAATTTATTTTGTCAAAAAGCACCAGAAGTGAGATGTGGCATACAAGTTAATTTCTTCATATCGCACCATGGTGTCAGATTCACCTGTATGAAGATGTTTGGCCTGTAAGTTAAAAGTTAACCCACCACCCTTCACCCCTCCAAGAGCACGGGGTCACAATCAGAAGATCATGAGGTGTTGGACAACCTTAGAGGCCCTGAGGACTCAGCAGATAAAGACAGTTACCGTATTTTCTGGACTATAAGTCTCACTTTTTTTTCATAGTCTGACTGGTCCTGCGACTTATACTCCGGAGCGACTTATATACCAAATTATGTATACCACACTGCTGCGGACCGGCTCTGGACCAGGAATGAGCTCCTCTGCCCCGCTGGTAGGGTTTGAAACACCGCCATCCTCTGCTGGAGACAGTGGCGCGCTGCTGCACCCTGGTTGTTTATTCTGTTATTGTTACCAGTACTTGTCTTGCAATGTGAAATGCTTGGTCTCCGATTTTGTAAGAAAAGTAATAAAATTTCCCCCCAAAATGTGACTTGTAGTCCAGTGCGACTTATATGTTTTTTTCTTCTTCATTATACATTTTATGGCTTGTGCGACTTATATTCCGGAGTGACTTATAGTCTGGAAAATAGGGTAGTTTCGAGGCACCAAACCCTCAGACAGCACAGCGGTCAATATACAGGGAGTGCATAATTAATAGGCAAGTTGTATTTTTGAGGAATAATTTTATTATTGAACAACAACCATGTTCTCAATGAACCCAAACAACTCATTAATATCAAAGCTGAATGTTTTTGGAAGTAGTTTTTAGTTTGTTTTTAGTTCTAGCTATTTTTGTTTGTTTATGTGCTTAGCAGACGCTTTTACCCAAAGCGACTTACAATCTTTTTTTTTAACCTATAGGGCATGTTGTGATCTGTGGGGGAAACCGGAGTACCCGGAGAAAACCCATGCATGCATGGGGAGAACACGCAACTCCACGCAGAAAGGCCGCAGCCGAGTTTCGAACCTGCGACCTTCGTGTTGCGAGGCAACAGTGCTAACCACTGCACCACCATGCAGCCCTGATATCTGTGTGTGCAGGTGACTATTACTGTGCATAATTATTAGGCAACTTAAAAAACAAATGTATACCCATTTCAATTATTTTTACCAGTGAAACCAACATAACATCTCGTCATTGTTGTCTTCCTCCGCTTATCCGGGTCGCGGGGGCAGCAACCCAACTAGGGAGCTCCAGACCGTCCTCTCCCCGGCCTTCTCCACCAGCTCCTCCGGCAGGACCCCAAGGCTTTCCCGGACCAGATTGGAGATGTAACCTCTCCAAAGTGTCCTGGGTCAACCCGAGGGCCTCCTGCCGGCAGGACATGCCTGAAACACCTCCTCGGGGAGGCGTCCAGGAGGCATCCTGACCAGATGCCCAAACCACCTCAACTAGCTCCTTTCGATCCGAGGAGCAGCGGTTCTACTCCGAGTCCCTCCCGAATGTCTGAGCTCCTCACCCTATCTCTAAGGCTGAGCCCGGCCACCCTACCGAGGAAACTCATTTTGGCCACTTGTATCCGCGATCTCGTTCTTTCAGTCATTACCCAAAGCTCATGAGCATAGGTGAGGATTGGGACGTAGATCGACCGGTAAATCGAGAGCCTGGCTTTCTGGCTCAGCTACCTCTTCACCACGACAGATCGTCTCAGCATCCGCATCACTGCAGACACCGAACCAATCCGCCTGTCGATCTCCCGATCCCTCCTACCCTCACTCGTGAACTAGACCCCGAGATACTTAAACTCGTCCACTTGAGGTAGGACCTCTCCCCTGACCCGGAGTTGGCAAGCCACCCTTTTCCGGTTGAGAACCATGGTCTCTCTCTTTGGAGGTGCTGATCCTCATCCCAGCCGCTTCACACTCTGCCGCGAACCTACCCAGCAAGAGCTGAAGGTCAGAGCTGGATGAAGCTAGGAGGACCACATCATCCGCAAAAAGCAGAGACGAGATTCTCCTGCCACCAAACTCGACACACTCCACACCACGGCTGCGCCTAGAAATTCTGTCCATAAAAGTGATGAACAGAACCGGTGACAAAGGGCAGCCCTGGTGGGGTCCAACCCTCACCGGGAACAGGCCCGACTTACTACCGGCTATGCGGACCAGACTCACGCTCCTCTGGTAAAGGGACTGAACGGCCCTTAACAGAAAGCCACCCACCCCATACTCCTGGAGCGTCCCCACAGGGTGCCCCTGGGGACACGGTCATAAGTCTTGTCCAAATCCACAAAACACATGTGGATTGGTTGGGCAAATCCCAATGCCCCCTCCATCACCCTTGCAAGGGTATAGAGCTGGTCCACAGTTCCACGGCCAGAACAAAAACCACATTGGTCCTCCTCAATCTGAGATTCAACTATCGATCGGACCCTCCTCTCCAGTACCTTGGAGTAGACCTTTCCAGGGAGGCTGAGGAGTGTGATCCCCCTATAGTTGGAACACACCCTCAGGTCACCCTTCTTAAAGATGGGGACCACCACCCCGGTCTGCCACTCCACAGGAACTGCCCCCGATGACCACGCAATGTTGCAGAGACGTGTCAACCATGACAGCCCTACAACATCCATAGCCTTGAGATACCCAGGACGAACCTCATCCGCCCCCGGGGCTCCGCCGCTGTGTAGTTGATTAACTACCTCAGCAACTTCTGCCCCCGGTACCTGTCTGCTGCATCCGGAGACCCACAGACCAGCCACGCCCTGTAGGCCTCCTTCTTCAGCCCCGAACCTCTGGTGTCCACCAGCGGGTATGGGGGTTGCCACCACGACTGGCACCAGCCACCTTGCAACCACAACTAGCAACAGCCGCTTCAACAATCGCAGAGTGGAACAAGGCCCACTCGGAGTCAATGTCCCCCACTGCTCTCGGGACACGGTCAAAGCTCTGCCGGAGGTGGGAGTTGAAGACCGTCTTAACAGGTTCTTCTGCCAGGCGTTCCCAGCAGACCCTCACTATGTGTTTGCGTCTGCCAGGTCTACACGGCATCTTCCCCTGCCATCTGATCCAATTCACCACAAGGTGGTGATCAGTTGACAGCTCCGCTCCTCTCTTCACTCGGGTGTCCAAAACATACGGCCGCAGGTCAGATGATACAACTACAAAGTCTATCATCGACCTGCAACCTAGGCTGCCCTGGTACCAAGTGTACTGATGGGAATCCTTATGTTCGAACATACTGTTCGTTATGGCCAAACTGCGGCTTGTACAGAAGTCCAATAACGACACACCACTCGAGTTCAGTCCTCCCAATCACACCCCTCCAGGTCAAGCTGTCATTGCCCACGTGAGCATTGAAGTCCCCCAGCAGGACAATGGAGTCCCCTGATGGAGCACTATCTAGCACTCGTCCCAGGGACTCCAAAAAGGGTGGGTACTCTGAACTGATGTTTGGCCCATAAGCACAAACAACAGTCAGGACCCGTTCCCCGACCTGAAGGCGCAGGGAAGCTACCCTTTCGTCCCCTGGGGTAAACCCCAACACACAGGCAGAGAGTCTTGGGGCTAACAGAAAGCCAACCCCAGCCCTCTGCCTCTCACCCAGAGCAACTCCAGCAAAGGAGAGTGTCCAACCCCTCTCAAGGACTTAGGTTCCAGAGCCAATGCTATGTGTCGTGGTGAGTCCGACTATATCTAGCAGGTACCGCTCAACCTCTGCCACAAGCTCATGCTCCTTCCCCGCCAGCGAGGTGACGTTCCATGTCCCAAAAACCAGTTTTCTTGTCCGGGGATCGGACCGCCAAGGCTCCCGCCTTGGTCTGACACCCGATCCACATTGCAGCATCCAGATCGACCTCCTGACCCCCTGGATCGCTTGGGGATCTTCACACAAGGGTGTGTAGACTGACACAAATTGCGTCGGAAATTAATTTTACAATCCAGACTCCACAAACTCTCAGACACTTAAGAAAAAATTTTGCTAAAACATCTAGCTTCCATTCCATCATTTCATCCATTACATTCCATCATTTCATTTATACCTTGTCTTGTATAATCATTAGTTTAGGAAAATAGAAATATATACTTGACTGTCTCAAGTGTGTGCATGTTCCCTGATAATTCAAAGAAACTTACGTCTTCTAATTAAACATTGAAAGATCAATCAGATTGATATTTTATATTTATATATGGAATCATCACTTTATTGATCATTTAATACATATGTAGTCAATCCTTAACGCTACAATAGCAATCCTCATCCTAAGCAAGCATGCAGTGACAGTGGAGAGGAAAACTCTTTTAACAGGAAGAAACCTCCAGAGGATATAAGCAGCCATCCACCACGACTCACTGGGGATCAAGAAGACAGAGTAGAAATGCGTACACACACGCAATATATACACCAAGTAGTGTTTCTATGGTTACATTGTGATTTCTTAGTAAACATTCTATTTACAAAAATATCAACTTTATTGTATTTATTCTAGTGAATCTGTAATTAATTCAACAGGTGAACTAGTAGTAGCACATTCCAGGTCACAAAAAGTAAAATGCTATCATCAGGAGAGGGAGAATAGTAGTGTTCAAGCCGATGGCCCCCTCCTTGAAGCCACCACAGCTCAGCAGAACACCATTGTAGCTTCTTCTGGGGAGAAAAACACTTAGAGAAAACAAAAAGTTAACAGCTAAAATAGCAGGAAATAATGCAATTAAAGAGCAAATTGGAGAAGAAAGTAGTAGAGTGTGGAAAGTGGTCAGTATGTCCTCCAATAGTCTAAGCCTATAGCAGCATAACTACAGAGATAACTCGAGATAAACTAGCCTTTAAGATGGAGGCATTTTGGAGGCAGGGCAACGGAGAGCCGTCTTTACCGACTTTACACTCCACCTCCCTCTACTCCCCCACTTGTCAAGATCTGGGCTAACATCAGATTTTAACCATAGGCCCTATCAAATAAAATGTTTTAAGACTAGTCTTAAAAGTAGACAAGGTGTCTGCCTCATGGACTAAAGCTGGGAGCTGGTTCCACAAGAGAGGAGCCTGATAGCTAAAAGGTCTGCCTCTCATCCTATTTTTAGATATTCTGGGAACCACCAGTAAACCTGCAGTCTGAGAGCGATGTATGATGGAGCTTAAGAACTTTACATGTGAGAAGGAGGATCTTAAAATCTTTTCTGAATTTAACAGGCAGCCAATGTTTAAGACAGGAGAGAAATGTGATCTCTTTTTAACTCTCATCAGAACTCTAGCTGCAGCCTTTTGGACAATCTGAAGACTTTTATCTACATTCTGTGGACTTCCTGAAAGTAATGAATTACAGTAATCCAGTCTTGGTGTGATAAAGACATGAACTAGTTTTTCAGCATCACTCCTGGAAAGGATGCTTCTAATTTTAGCAATATTTCAAAGGTGGAAAAAGGAAATCCTACAAACCTGTTTAACATGGGATTTGAATGACATGTCCTGGTCAAAGATAACACCAAGATTCCTTACTTTTTTCTCGGAGACTAATTTAATGCATTCAGGTCAGGTGATTGACTAAGCAATTTCCTTTTCTGAATTTCAGGTCCAAAGATGAGAACTTCCATCTTGTCTTGATTTCAAAGCAAAAAGTTTTGAGTCACCCAATTTTTTATGTCTTCGAGACAAGCCTGTAATCTAACTAACCGATTAGGTTCATCAGGGTTAATGGATAGACATAACTGAGTATCCTCAGCATAACAGTGGAAGTTTATCCCATGCTGTCTAATAATTTTACCAATTGGACGCATATATGCAGTAAAAAGGATCGGTCCAAGCCCTGAACCCTGTGGTACTCCACAAGTAACCCTGGAGTACGAAGATTTGTCATGTACATTTACAAAATGATATCTATCAGAAACCAGCCTAGCGCTGTTCCTTTGATCCCTACAACATGTTCAAGTCTTTCTAAAAGAACATTGTGATCTACTGTGTCATAGACAGCACTAAGATCTAACAAGACTAGAACAGACACAAGATTCTTATCTGAGGCCATGAGAAAATTATTTGTAACTAATGTGGTTTCAGACCATTATGTTTATGTTTATTCATTTCGCAGACGCTTTTTATCCAAAGCGACGTACAAGTTTTTTTTTTTATAACCTGTAGGGCATTAGTGTTTAGATGTTCACATACTTGGATGACCACTATTTTCTCAGACTTTGGATAAAATGGAAGGTTAGATATTGGTCTATAATTCATTGGGTCATCTGGATCCAGAGAAGGCTTCTTAAGTAGAGGTTTGATTACAGCAACCTTAAAATCCTGTGGTACGCATCCATTTACTAAGGATAGATTGATAGATTGAAAAATCCCATAAAGTCATTGCTGCTGAGGGCTTAGGGTAATAGATGGTTCAGAGCTAAGATTTTGTGTAAGTTTCGCAACTGTACTGAAAAGAAATTTAGAATTCTTATTCTCCTTAATTAGCGATTAAAAATAAGCAGTTTTAGCTTGTTGAAGCTTATTTTTATAAAGCACAAGACTATTTTGCCAGGATAAGTAGGATTTCTCCTGGTGTGTAAAGCGCCATGTTCTCTCCAATTTTCTCAAGTTTTTTTTAAGTTAGAATATGGAACATTTTAATAAAAAAAACTATATTTGAAAAAAAAAAGATTCCTTTGTGGGGCGTTCAGAGGTGTGCAGAATGAATGTACAGTTTCTCATTTTAAAGCTATATTTAAAAAGATAAATAATAAAAAAAATTATTCTGTCAGCCACGACACTGGCTACCATCCAGTAGAGGGCACCGTTGTGATAAAATGTCCACTCAGCAAGGTGAGGTTGGGACTGTGTAAAATGGCAGACTTGGGAAGTCAAGCAGCTAATTCTGAGCCCAGAAGATGTTCTAACGGTAAATACTGTTGTGAAGTAGACTTAATATTATCCAGTACAATCAGTCTCTGAACATGGTGCTAGGACGTGTCAGCAGTGAACCAACATCCCAGCAGCTGGAAAATTAGTCCTTTTGTTGCAATACCACCTCTGCTCACCTGCTACCTCCCTCTGAGATGCTGAAGACAGTAAAGATGGAACAGTTGATGTAAAAGCTGCAACATATTAATAACCCTTCAGCTACGGAATACTCTTGGTACCAAGGCTCACAGAATATGCCCATCTAAGGGTTGCATTGTGGCAACTTTCTGTATTTTAAAAGCTGACGGAAAGTTGACGAAAACACCTGCTTCAGATACGGGATGTATCTGGAAATTTCAAACTGTGAAAAACGGATTTGCTTCAACTGGAAATATTCGTCAGTTTGAATTAAACACGTATTGATCAGATCCGGTTATAAAAGACACACAACTGGCCAAGTGTACACCTGCTATTAAACACAGGAAATACATTTTTTCCATACTTGCTTTGGCACCTGCAGTTATATCGAGTTGAATATAGTACATACCCACTTTTTGCACTAATGTTTCAGATTTTTGTATTTGGGAGACACACAAGAAAGTTCAAAAATAATATTTTAAGGGTTTTTATTATTTACGGTAGAAACACTGTACATAGGTTACTTCCTCTGAGACTAATACTGATGTATAGATAAAAGGAATTTCTCAACCTTCCATGTAAAGGTAATATGATCTTGCCATGTCTCTGAAAAAAGGTAAAATTTAAAACATGTTTTTTTTTAAATGATTACAGTTAATCATTGTAAACACAAAAGGTCCCATAAACAACAAAAAGCACAAACAATGAGAGAACATTCACACCTTTTTATCTGTAATGGTTACTCATTTATTTTACTAATGGAAATGTACCGTCTTTAAGCAAAAACAACCCCAATTCATGACATAGTTTTATTGCAAGCAGTACTGCTACCTTTGACTGACAAAAATCACAAGGTTATGCGTAATGTAGCTGAATTACAATCTGCAGAAGTGAAAGACTTGTTTTGGAGCGAACCAGAGATGTATGGGACTGTTGAACCTACACAGCCCCCATGTAGCCCCCAAATTGCCTCTGCAAATGTCACTCTTACTATGGTCTAGATTTGCTACAAAAATGCTACGTGCTGATAGATTAAACTAAACTGCCCCAAAATAAAAAAAAAAGACAAAATTTGGTTTTGACTTTCATGATCTAATGTGTTGGTGAGAGTGTAGTTGTAGCAGGAATAGTGCAATGCATCAGGATGTAAATGCCTTTTTTTTTTTTGTTGATTTTTTAAAAATATTTTCAGGTCCTAACAAAATACTATTTTCTGTGAAGACGAAACAACACATTTCAAACAAAAACATTTTTCTCATTCTACAAATTCAGATATTTTACTGTGCCTGCCTCTCTTAGAGTGAGAGAAACACTGACAGTTATATTCTGACTTATTTCAAAGAACAAAAAGTCCCAAAGACAGGACTCAACTCAGAGAAATTTAGGACCCAACAACATCTGGAATGGATGCACAGTTTACAGCTGTTTAAATACTTCTGATGGATGCTCAAACACAAAGGTGGCCATCCAAACTGGTCTCTATGTTCCTTCATCATCCAAAAGAGTAAACATTAAACAGAAATATGGCTGACCTAACACACTGAAGTAAACGGACATTCATCAGAAGGCATATCAAAAAAGAGAGAAATTTGCATTTACACAGGTTAAAAACCTTTTACCGGGCCGGATATTAACCATAGATTTGTGTTTCGGGTCTGTTAGAAAAATAAATCAAACTTAAAACAAAGGAAAAAAATTATTAGAGGCCAGGTCATTAACAGTTCCATCTGGGGCAACCTTTTTTTAAAACGTACACAGTCACTTTGCTCCTGATGTGTTACCTTCTCCCTATTTCACTCTGTCGTAGGAAATGAATGTTGTTGGCGTTGTCAGCCAGCTCGGGGTACTGCTCTATGGACAGAATATAGTAACCATCATATCCCAACACCTTTCCACTGCTCAGCAGCTGCCTTTTCTCTCCTTCTGTCCACAGCTTTATGCCTTCTTCCCCAACTCTTACTCGCTGTTGTTCTCGAGCCCAAGAGGTCGTCACAGCCCTCTGCCTTGCCTGCTCCAGGACCCTTGCTTTTTCTTCATCCAGAGTTGTCCCATAGCGCACGTGGAGTGCCAGAGGGCCATACTGCAATTCTATGTCAGCAAAGCGCCGTGTTCTCCCGTTCATCACAGTTGTAGACTGGGACACGGTGACATTCACACCATTTTCTAGTGACTTCCTGCCTGAAGTGAGTTGCAGTGTACTGAGGTCCTTCTCAGGCAGGCTGGTCTTGATGAAGTAGTGTGTGTCACGTCCCTCTACTGTAAAATGTAGGTCCTCTAGATAAAAGGCATTGTTCAGAACTCCAGCCACTTTGATGCAGTCCTCACTGGCAATGTTCTGAGTCTTGGTCACTACACGTCCCTGGACCACAGCAAACATCACCCCTTTTCCAATTAGAGATTTAACTGTTGCAAACCACAGCCATGGCTTGATGTGGTCTGTATGTCTCTGGCTGACTTGAATTGCTGGCATACGCTCAAAAGACAGAAAGGAAGCCGACTGACGAGTCAACTCTTGTTGGATGCCTGAGATGGTCTGTGGATGAAACCATAAGACATCAGCATAAGAGCAGAATCCAAAGCAAAATATTTCTCAAACAGAATTTCAACACGCTTGTTTAAGAATCGCTCTCAGAAAATTTGTTTAATGTAATGACTTCAATAACTAGACTTATTCACACTTTTTTTAATAAACAATTTTGCCCTGAACTACAGGGTGGGCCATTCATATGGATACATCCTTAATAAAATGGGAAAGATTGGTAATATTAACGTCCTGTTTGTGGCACATTTTTATATGTGAGAGGGCAAACTTTTCAAGACGGGTGTTGACCATGGTGGCCATTTTGAAGGTGGCCATTTTGAAGTCAGCCATCTTGGATCTAACTTTAGTTTTTCTCAATAGGAAGAGGGTCATGTGACACATCAAACTTATTGGGAATTTCACAAGAAAACCAATGGCGTGCTTGGTTTGAATGTAACTTTATTCTTTCATTAGTTATTTACAAGTTTTTCTTTGTTCACAGCCATCGAAGAGTTTTAACACGTGAGGAGCGGATAAAAAATGTGTTGATATCTGGTGAACACAGTAATCGGGTCATTGCAGCAAATTTATATGCAAGACACCCTACCAGACCACCCATCTCCCATGCTACAGTTAGCAAACGGCTTGCTAAGTTTCGTGAAACTGGTTCAGTGTTGGATTTGCCAAAATGTGGATGCATGAAAACTGTCACTACTGAAGAAACATCAGTGGCTGTCCTAGCTTCATTCAGCAAAAGCCCACAGCGTAGCACTCACCGCATGTCACTGGAGAGTGGCATTAGTTGAGCATCCCTTCGGCGGATATTAGTGTAGCGTCATGAATGGCCTCTAATTTGTGACAAAGGTCACATTTTCCCAGCTGGGTAAAGCTGGGTCGACCGCAACTTTGCCCCACAGATTAAACATGCAAGGAGCCATGATGTCTGCTGAATATCATCTTTATCTGCTGCTGTTCCGTCCCAGGATGAAGGACACTTCAAGTTTCACAATAATAATTTTAAATAATAATTTTAATAAACTTTTGACTTTATTACTGTTATTACAATCATCATAAATAATCTCTTGGTTCAGTAAATGTATTTTAATTACTGAAATGACTTATCATGCTTTGGGTATAATAATGATAATTGTTGATAATCAGTTATGTGTGTTCAGCAAACCAGAAGGTCATCTTGCACGTAACCAGCCTCATTCAGAAGGGATTTCCAAGGTAAAGGGTAAAATCATCACGTCTTTCCCTCATGACCAAGCTTTCTGGTGCTGAGAGTGGGCGTGTTCTGGGGGTTTTGTTAAAACCGAATTCCAACAGCAAAAGTTCTGACATGATAAAGGTCATTTACATTTATAAAAAATAAGCAGGAGATCACAAAAATCCTCTTTTAAAAATGTCCTCTGTAGCTTTTGGTTTACATATGAGAGCCCCCTAGTGGCGAATACATATTACTGAATGATACAACTTCCAAAATCAGTCCCAGTGGTTGGTGGTAAATGTATGTATTAAGGACAGATCATATTTATTAATGAGCACTGGCGCCACCGGTCCCTCCGATCACCACCAGCAGGCAAGGGGGGTTAAGTGTCTTGCCCAAGGACACAATGACAGCGACAAACTTAGTGGGGCTCGAGCCTGCAACCTTCCAATTAAGGGGAGAGCACTTAACTCCTGTAGTAACCCCTATATGTAACCAGGATGTTTTTGACCACAAAGTTGTTTGTTATTTAAACAGCTTGCCCACTTTCAAATGAAGCACTCATCTTGTTTTGATATTTTCTTTCTTGTGCTTGCTCACATATTTCCATTTGGATGTCATCTATCCACCTGCCTGTCAGTGCGTTTAATCACAAGTTGGTCAGATACAGACACAAGACACACTGGAGGAACTATGTCTCTTGGCTGGCCAGCAAACACCTTAGGATTCCCTTGGAGAAGCTGGCCCAAGTGGCTGGGAAGAGGGAAGTATGGGCCTCCCTGCTTAGGTTACTGTCCCCAGCGACCCAAACCTGGATAAGTGGCTGAAATTTGATGGATGGATGGTGTTGTATACACCTGACCAAAAGGTTGATAATGTAGTTATATCCTTAGATGCTGCAAAAGTGTTTGGTCAACGAGAGAAGGACTTAGTGGTAGTGTCTGGCCTGGGACTGGGAAATCGGGGTTCAAATCCCGGTGAGTTATGTAAGACACACACCAGTGTGTGTGTGACAACAATGGGACTTTAACCTAGACTTTACTTCCTTCTTCAGAGTTTAGTAAGGTTTAAATTTGGACTCAAATCAATATCTTGCATAAAAGAGTTATATTGCTCTCCACTGGCAGCTGTTTGCACCAATATTACTACTTCAGATTATTTTGATTTGAACCATGGAACTGGACAGAGATGCCCACCGTCACCTCTCCTATTTGCAGTTGTTACTGAACCTGTGGCTATTGCCATATGGGATAATATGGGGGTTTAGACACATTGACAAAGGCAATCAATAACAGTGTTGTCAGTTTTGTATAACATGTCTTATTCCAGAAATCACAAGAATTTGCCTTCTCGTCTGTTGCAGCTGCAGAGTTGTTTGAGGAGTCTCCTGGCACTGCCAATCCAATGCAGCGCACATTTTTCCCTCTCACCTGGTGTCTTTTTAGGTGATGCTCCATAAAGCCCTGTCTTTCAAGCTCCTCTCTCCCCCTTTTTGCATTTTGTAGGTGTGGGTGCTGCATTCCCCATTCTAGTGAGTGAAATCTTCAATTGTAGGCCCCTTTCCATCAAAAACAGCCAATATTTTTTCTCAGGACTTATGGGACTCACAATCATTGTTACATTGGTTTTATTTATTCAGGACTTTCCTCGCATAATTTTTT